TGGGGTGGCAGAGGCCGTCGGCCGCAGGGTTTCGGTTCACGAAGGCCTCCAGGGACTTCAGGAGCTGCTTTGGTTTCTTTTTGGTGGACGCCTCCAGCTCTGGGGAGGAGAAACACGTGAGGACGGAGCAGGATTCGGGAGGGTGCTGGGGACACGGCGCGCTCCTGGGGTCGGGTTTTGGATGTGGATTATGGGACGCGAGAGCAGGAAAACTCCTCCCCAAAAGCCCCGGATGAGCTCAGCACCACCCCAAGCCCCCCCAGATCCCCCTGGGAGGGAAAGCAGCTCAACCAGGGCCTGCCCGCAGCAGCTGGGCCCCGTCTCAGCCCCATCAGCGCGGAGTCGATGACCCCACAGGTTTATTTAGTGCTGTCAAATGCGGCTCTTGGCCACTTTGCTTCCACCCTGCGCTGCAAACGGGGCCTGGGCTGGCACAACCGCGCCCAGGGAGCACAAAACGGCCCCATTTATCACCCACCTCAAGTCACCACAGCCCCAAACGTGGTGAGTGCTGCTGTGGGGGCTCATCTTTGAGATTTGAGGTGCAAAAGGGGCAGAAAACCACCCCCCAGGGCACTGAGAGAGTTAAAGACCTTGGCGTGAAGATGCGATGCTGAATGGTTGAGGCTTTCTGGGCGTTTCGCCCCTTGGGGACACCAAATTTGTCCCCTGGGCCTCGGGTTGTTTTCCAGGGCTGGGCAAAGAGGGGAAGGCGCAGGGAACGGCACCTTTGAGGAGGAGGTCGGAGTCAGCGATGGTTTTGTGCTGCCCCTTCCAGAGGCGGTAGAGCTGCAGGAAGGCGGCGGCGTAGAGGTCGTTGAGCACGGCGATCACCTGCTGCCGCTGGTTGCACACCCTGGAGGGGACAACGAGGGGCTCAGCCGCTGCGGGAGGGTCCCCGGGGGTTGTTCGAGACCCCAAAACCCGCGCTCAGCCCCGCGACGGAGCCGGGGCTCACCTGGAGAGACGCTCCTCCCGCAGGGCCCGCAGCACCAGGCGGGTGATGTTCACCGACATGATGCAGAAGGGGAAATTCTGCAAGGGAAGCAGCGTTAGCGTGGCTCGGCTGAGACATCCTCCTCCTCCCGGCACCCCCATCGCTATCGCACTGCACCCCACATCCACGGGACAGCAGCTGCAGGCGGCACATCCACTTCTCAGGATGATGACACCACGGGTATGGGCATAGATGGGTTAAGCTGAGGCTAAAACCCAACCACATCCGAACTAAAAGGCCACTTCTAAGGGGATGGGCTCCACACGCCCCTGTTTTCACACCGTGCTGCTCCTTGCCCGCTTCTCTGCCCCTGTTAACCTGCACGAGTTCAGCTTCAGGGCAGGATCCCGGGAGCAAATCCCTGAATGCTAAAATCTCATCCCCAGAATAAAGCCAATGCCTGGAGCTCGGCTGCACCCTCTGCTTGGAGCTTTTTGGAGATCACCTCCTCCTTAGACCAACATGGAGGGAGGGGATTAAGCAGCCAAAAACCCCCAAGTCCTTCCTCTGAGGAGGTTTTTGTGCTTCCTTGCCCCAGGTGTCAGAAATAAAGAGGTCACCAGCGCTGCAGGAGCGAGGCAGGACAGGGCTCAGGACGGGGGTCAGGACAGGGGTCAGGACGGGGCTCAGGATGGGGCTCAGGACGGGGATCAGGATGGGGCTCAGGACGGGGCTCAGGACGGGGATCAGGACGTGCCTGGGTTTCATGCTGGGACAGCTGGAAGATCTCCCGGGCCAGAGGCAGCGTCTGGGAGTCCATGACGAGGTGCAGGATCTGCATCAGCCCCAGCATCCCCGTCCCACGCAGGTCGGTGCCGGGATCCACACCTGGAAAGCAGGGACAGCACCGAGTGGCTCCCTGCTCACCCCCCCCACTGCCACGGGTGCTGCTTTGGGGGAGTTTCCCACCAACGACCCCTCCTCTCCACCACACACCCATTCCCACACCTTCTCCAGGAAACTCTGAGCTCTGCCCACCACATTTGGGTGGTAAAGCAAGGCTTAAAGCCAGTTGTACACTGCAGGATGGAGGAGCAGGAGCCGCTCCCCTCCTGTCGATGGTTTTCAGCTCCATTAAATAACTCATTATTTAACTTGTGGAGTCAGCCAGCCCGAAAACGGCGAGGCCGCGCGTGGCAGCTCTAATCGCGCTGTTTTTCTCGCACGGCCGAGGCTGAAAGCAACCTGGACACATCCTTAGCGACAGAGCCCCGGCCTGCGCTTCATTAATAAACCTCCAGAGACGGCTCATTAGCCACAGCGATCGCGTGCTAATGAAGGGCATTAACGGGCAAAGCGGCTACGCCAACTGTGCTCAGTTTTGGGCCCCTCGCTACAAGAAAGGTGATGGAGAGCGGGGAAAGGTGGGTGATGGAGCTGGGGAAGGGGCTAGAGAACCAGTCCTGGGAGTGACCTGGAATGGGAGGAGGATGCCCATGAGCCAGCAATGTGCCCTTGAGCCAAGAAGGCCAACGCCTTCCTGGGCTGGATGAGAAGGGGTGGTTGGAGGGCAGAGAGGTTCTCCTGCCCCTCTGCTCTGCCCTGCTCACACCACAGCTGCAATCTTGTGTCCAGTGCTGGGCCCTCAGCTCCAGAAGGACAGGAACTGCTTGAAAGAGTCCAGCAGGGCCACCAAGTGATGGAGGGAGTGGAGCATCTCCTGCTGAGGAGCGGCTGAGGGAGCTGGGGCTCTTGAGCTTGGAGCAGAGGAGACTGAGGGGTGCCCTCATTCCTGGGGATCCATTTGGAAAGGGCAGTGTCAGGAGGAAGGAGCCAGGCTCTGCTCTGGGATGGCCATGACAGGACAAGGGCAATGGGTGCAGCTGGAGCACAGGAGGTTGATGTGAACACGAGGAAAAGCTTTTTCCCTGTGAGGGCACAGAGCATGGCCCAGGCTGTGGAGAGGTTGTGGAGTCTCCTTGTGTGGAGACACCCAAAGCCCTGGCCGTGTTCCTGGGTGACTGCTCTGGTGATCCTGCTCTGGGGTTGGGCTGGGGCAGCTCCAGAGGGCCCTGACAACTCCTGTGGTTCTGTGATTCTGTGAAACAGCCTCAAGGGAAGGGTTAGGTTGGATATGGGGAATATTTCTTAACCAAAAGGGTTCTCAGGCACTGGCAGGGGCTGCCCAGGGCAGTGGTGGAGACCCCATCCCTGGAGGGGTTCAAAAACCATGCTGATGAGGCACCTGGGGACGTGGTTTACTGGTTGAACTGGCAGTGCTGGGTTAACGGTTGGATGCAAGGATCTTAAAGGTCTTTTCCAACTTAAATTATTCCATGCAACAGCAGCAGGGCTGGCAGCAGCGTGAAGGGTGAGGAATCAGCAGCAAAACCCTCGGTGCTGCCCGTGAATCCCACCTGTGGGGGATCTCTCCCAGAAAAGGTTTGCTCCAGAGCTCCCTGCCCTACCTTGGAAGCCGAGCTCCTCCCAGTGCGCCCCATAGCGCGGGCAGCCCAGCCTGGAGCGGGTCAGCTGCTTGTAAATGGTCTGCAGGATGCGCATGTGCACTTGCTCGTTGTCATTCAGAGCACCTGGCAGGGAAAAAACAACGGTCAGCAGCTAAAAAGCAACCCTTGGCATTTAAAAACATCCCTCAGCATCTAAAACATGCCTCTTGGCACCCAAAAAATGCCCCTGGGGATCCCTGCCCCTCTGCAGAGACACAGTGGGGAGAGAAACGGCCACCAGCTGCAGGGTAAAGCCAGAGCCCAGCTGGAAACGAAGTCCTGCAGCCAGGAATGGCTTGTGGTGCCCAGGTAC